TGGGGATTAGAATGTTTTTATGGTAAATTACTCAGAAAGAGATTGAAATTTTTATTTGTATTTCTTTCGTATAATAAATTTGGAAATGGTTTAGTTTAAAGATTTCATAATGATCCTTTTTCGCGCCATCTAGCAACTCTTTCTCCCTTCCCTCTCACTCTCTCTCTTTCACTCCGACTACGCTTCGTGTCGGGCTTCGTATTTTTTTTTGTAGACCTCGGCTTCGGCTTCGTTTCTAGCTTCGGCTGCAGTTCCGTCGCATGCGATCGCCGGTCGCTGCTGCTATTTCCCTCGGCGCACTGCACACAGCGATCACTCGTCGATCGGTCGCGCAGCGGATTGGACGTGCCGGTATTATCGCTCCGCTTCTGCCGCTCAGTCGCGTCTGCGCCGGCGTCAGTGTTGCCACCCCCTTCGAAAAGCGCCCCATAAAAAAAAGTTTAAAAATCATACAAAAGAACATTCTATCATTCTGAACGTTTAACTATTTTTTTTGTCAACGCGAAACCAAGTGAAAAACCATATTCGACTGTAGTTTTTTTTTCATAAAACCCCCTCTAATTTTTTTTTATTTGTTTTTACTTGTGAACAACGGGAATTACTGAAACCAGGAAAGCGCAAAAACAGAGGCAGAATTTACTGCCTAGCTGCCAAATCGAAATTGAAAATCGCCGCTCAGCTGACGAGTAAAAACTGTAAGTTGTTGCTAAATGTAATTGTTGCCGTCAGTTAATAATGCCCATTAACCGGGGGGCCAAGGGAAGACCAGGGGTCGCCGGAGACTAGAGACTCGAGATCCGAGAGTAGTGACTTGGCTTAAACCTGAGTTATTCCTCGCTTTTTGCCTCATCTTTTTTCCGCTTAAGCCCGCCTTGACTTTCGACTTTTGTCGCATCTTGACATCTCCCCTTATTAACTATGTAATTTCCTCTTCGTTTTATTGCACTGCATACACTAAATTATTGTCTTTATTATTAGCCATTTGGCCAACTCAAAATTAGTAATATTTTATGGGCATATAAATGAAATTATGTATTTTATTGCATAAGGAAAGAACATAGATCATAATTTAGATTCCGTCACTAATTAATCACGAGAAGAGCACGTTTTCTTTTACAATCTTCAGTGCAGAATGATATATTTTAGAGTCTGGCCGAAAAGCCGTCAGTCTGGCGATTTGGAAACGGAATACGGGAATCGGAATTCCTGAGATAAGGATGTGAAACTTTCCATGGGCTGCGTATCAAACGTATCAAAGCTATCAAGGTGTGGGAGCAGCAGCCTAATTGAGTTAGTTCTTATCGCCAGGCAGTAATTTGTCACTTTCGATTAAACGCACATCAGTCAAAAGGGGTTTAGACCATTAAATTTTGATTATTAACTAAATATTTCTTATAACTATATATATCTTGTATTTATATCTGAATATCTGTTGATAATATCTGGTTTCTATTGAAAACATCGATATTGATAATTGATAATATTGATAATATCTGGTTTCTATTGAAAACATCGATATTATCGAATCAATACAGTAAAAATATCGAAAATATCGATCACTTTCAAGCTCTAGTTGATATAACATTCAAATCAAACAATCTGTGTTCGGTTTTATCCCTTTGTGCTTTCTATATAACAAAGAACTTAGCTCAGCATTTCCCAGACCCCTGCAGATCTCCAATTTGCTGACTTAGAATTCCCAGAATGACGACGACCAAAAGTGGAGCACATTCTGATAAGCTCCGATTCCGATTCCTATTCCCATTTCGATTCAAATACCAAATCCCCCGGGTCGCGTTACAAGATCCTAGACCAGTTCTGGAATCGGATCGTATCGCATTGCATCGGATCGAATGATTCAAATACATATAATGGCCGTGCCTCAAGTTAAAAAGCACGCAACCCTCTCTCGGGCAATCGGTTAATGTTTATTTATAAACAAAATACGAAATCCCAGAAATCCCAGAGAAAAAAAAATAACTGGGGGAACTGCGGATATCTTTGTGGCATGGCACCGCGATAAGATAAAGAACCCCGGACTGGGGCTCTTGGAAATAAAAGAAACGTCAGCGGGGTGGCATGACTAAAGCGAAAGCGATTCAAATTAATATTGATCGAGCAGTGTGCTCCACTCATTTTTGTTTATATTTCCCGATAATTGCACACTTTCCGCTATTGCTGATATATATACATTTTTTTTACCCCGGTCAACTTGACTTGAACTTAAGTATTTCGTCAACAGTCAAGCCTCTGTAACTCGAAATTTAAAGGAACCGTTTGAATATTTTTTGAAAACTTTAAAATTTTTTACAATTAAATTAATGGATTATTTTTGTTATTAACAATTTTCTTCTTAATTTTAAAATAATATATTTATAAGTATTATTTTTAAATTCAATTGGAAATACCCAGCATTTTGTAGTTTCTTTCGGTGACTTGAAATTTTATATTGTTCCATATAATCTTACTTTGAAGTTTACTTTTTGGCCTTATCAAATTTCAGCTGTATTTCTTTTATTACGCAAGTGACACATATTTCTTTCTTTTTTTTGGGGAAATAATTTGCGAAACTATTTCTTGCGAACTTCCGGTTGCTAGGCGGGCATTATATTCCACACCCTCCATGAAACCGAAAACCCCGAACACTCCGAAAACTCCGAAAAGCACCGACAACCTGCTGCTTAACCCCTGTGCCAACATTACCATTTTATCTTATCGAGGCGGGACTTTTCGGTGGGTTCGCTCTCGTTTTTATGGTGCGCCCGGCCATATATCTTTCTATATGACCCGCCCATATAGCCTACACATATATCATATCATATCATATCATATGTGGCACGTCTCGAATTGATCGATTGCTCTGTGGATCGCCGATGAAAAGATCGCTGAGCCGCCGGAGAGCGTGAATAATATTACCAATATTTGTTAACGAAACACAAGTGTTTCTGTTCTTTTTTTTCACACCCAAACTACATGGCAGCCATGTTGCAAGTCGTTCTCCGGTCTTTGGTCGCCAGTCTACACATAGAAAAATTTAATATAATTAAATATTAAACATTTTGATATGAATAAAGATCTTATTTTACAATATTTCTTAAAAAATACTAAATTCTGTATTTTAAAACAGTATTTTTATGAAATGATTTAATATCAATTTGATATGCTTGAGTCATAAATTGGACATTAAGGTATAAATGAGCTTATTTCATATAGAATTTTTTCTGTACAGTCTACAGTCTCCATTCTCCGTTTTTCATTCACCGCAGCCTGTTAATGTTAATAACCCAGTTTGCACAAGTGTCTTTTTGGCTCTTCGATACCCTAACCAAATCGAGAGGGTATAATTACAAACTCATGAAATGGAAACGGGAAATCGGAATGCCGGAATGAACAAACAAACAGAAGAGTGGCGGCTTTATATACCCAAGTATTACGAGTCTACAAAATCCGAGAACGGAGTTCCGAGTGTGGGAATGGTATTTCAGTTGGTTTTTCCTCAGGATTCCTTAGGATTGTTAATTGTGCGCGTATGTTACGTATAGTTTTGGGTAAATTATAACGGAATAAAAAGATATATTTAAAATTTATATATATGAAATTAATCATTTTTAAAATGTATTGTTTTTTTATTTAGTTTTGCTCTGAACAATATTGTAAGATCTAATGAGACCATAAAATATTTCCTAATGTGTAACAAAAACACTTGATTTGTTGGTAATATTCACAAAAAGCTTTCAAAAGTATCTCAAATTATTTAATTTATTCAAATGCCTGCGCAAAATGAATCTCTGTGATTCATCTGCCTAAATAGAGAGTTGTGTGTGCATAGACACATGCAAGTCGTTTGAGCTAATTTTAATTAACTTGCCATTTCCACAAATATTTATTTCGTGGCTCGTTTCTCGTTTGTTAATTTCTGTTTTCTGTTTTATTTAACCCATTTTTTTTAACGGCTCCGGCCATTTTGTTGGCGCCCGCTAAGCGGTCTCGTCATGGGTTTTATGGGGATTTCGTTGCTGGGACTGGGGACTAGGGACTGGGACCTTATCGCTAGGGTCGTCAGCGTCGCAGTCGCCGTTGGCAGAGGCAGCGGCAGAGGCGGCGGCAGAGGCGGCCATCTTTGCTCAACTCATCCATAAACTCATTAACGCGCGCATGTCTCACGCGCTGCTTTTGCCGCCGGCACTTGCACCTGTCGCCCCACCTGAGGCGACTCCTCCCCCTCATACACCTCCCCCTCCTCCACCTGCCATTAGCGTCTGTCAATTGACCTGGTTTGCCTATGGGTGGCCAAGTGGGCGACGCATGCGCAACAGGTGCCAGAAGATTCCGATTGGCGGCTAGGATATAATGAGCTTCGAGCTGCGAAAATCGACCAGCCAATCCCCAGTCAAAGATATGCATCAAATGCAGTAGCTAAAATATCTGAAAGTTCCGAGTACAGTTGAGTTTTAAGGCTTTGAGTTTGAAAGTTTTTTAAATAATAATATAAAATAAATTATTTGTAATAATTTAATATAAATAATTCGGGTCACTTGGGGGGGAATAAGTTCCTATCAAAAACCTACAATATACTAAAAGAATATTTGGTAAAAATATGGACCCTGTTGCTTTAACAGTTTGCTCATTTGCTTTGATTCGTCAAAAATTGGAAGGATATTTTTATATATATAAATATAGATTTAGCCTCAAAATGCAGTATCTAAATTATGTGAAATTTTCAAGTACAGTTGAGTTCCAAAGCTCTGGGATTAAAAATAAATACAAAATAATTTATTTTTAATAATTTAATATAAAAAATTGGGGTCACTTGTTTAGAAATAAGTTTCTATCAAAAACCTACAATGTACTAAAATGATATTTGCTAAAAATTTGGACCCTGTAGCTTTACTAGTTTGGTAATTTTCTTTGATTCCTCAAAAACTGTAAGGATCATTTTATATAGATAGATGGATTAACCCTAACAATGCATTTTATTCATCTCTTTCCCCGCAGCAACCGACTGAAGAGCAGAATGTGGAGGACAGCTGGTGCTGGGAGCCCGATGGAGGCGACGAGAAAGGTGGCGGCGGCGCCACAGGAGATTCCGCGAGGAGCAAGGAATCCTCCGATCTCGTGGACATCGCCCTGGGCGCCAACGATGTGGCCCGGCTAAACAATCGCATTGCGGAGCTGGAGCAGCTCAATGCACAGCTGAATGCCTCGCTGGAGGAGCTGGACTCGCAGCACGAGTTGGCCATGCAGGATGTGCTCGAGCACAAGACGCAGCTGGCCACGCAGGTGGCGAATCTCAGGCAGCTGCAGGCCGATCGAATGGTGGAGCACGAGTTGTCGCAGGCCAGGCAGCAAAAGCAATTGGAGGAAGTGCGTCTCGAGGTTACAGTGGCCAAGGAGCAGAAGCTAGAATTGCAACAGCAAGTGGATCAGCAGGCGGAGGAGCTGAAACGCAGCATCCTTGAGCTGGCCGAGATGCAGGCGCTGCTGGAGAAGCGCGGCCAGGATAACACGGAGCTCATCGAACGCGTGCGCCTGGCCGAAAAGGATCTGGAGGATGAGCGGCGGCTGGCCAAGGAGAAGAAGACCTCCGAGTCCTCCTCGTCGAACAGCTCCTCCTCCTCCGCCGGCGGCAAGCACAGCGAGGATGAGTTCATAGTGGTCAGTCAGGGCAACTCCGAACCCGATGCGGACACTCCGCCGCCCTCGAAAGAGAAGCTGCGCGATCGCCTCGTCTCGCTGGAGTCGCAAATCTCCGAGCTCACTTTGGCCAACACCCAAATGCAGGATGCCCAGGTGGAGAAGCAGCTAGGCATCAATTTGCTAACCGAACAGCTGGCGGAACTCGAGAAACGTTTGCGTTTAAGCGAGGCGGAGAAGGAGCAGCTGCAGTTGGATCTGCAGCTGCGCCTCCAGCAGCTCACGGTGCAGAACCAGGAGCTGAAGCTGCACGCCGAGGCCGAGCAGGAGGGCCATGCCCAGGATCTGGAGGAGCAGCTGGGCTCGCTGCGTGAGGAGAACCAGCGGCTGCGCCAGGAGCTGGACGCCAGCATAGCGCAGGCCAAGTTCCGGCAGGCCATTGCCGAGGAGAAGCAGGAGATTACCGATTTGGATGAGACGGAAGCCACCGCCGAACATGGCACCTACGAACTGGATAAGCTGCGTGCTTTGCTCCAAGCCGAACTGGAGGATCGCCTGGCCACCTCGCAGCCCCAACAGAAGTTGGAACGTGCCTGGAATTCGCTCAGCGAGCGTTGGCATCGCCTCGATCTCGTCGAGCAGCGACTGACGCTATGCGAGCACGAAAAGAAGACTTTGGAGGCGGACATCTCGCAGTACATCCTGCAGTGCGACGAGCTGATGAAGAACAACGAGCTGCTGCTCAACGAGCTGGACAAGTACAAGCGCAACAAGCTGGAGACCATCGAGGAGCATCACGAGGAGACCATTGTGCAGCTGGAGGCGCAGCTGGAGGAGGCTAAAAGGGAAGCACAGGATAAGACTAAACTCCTGGCGAGGAATGAGCAGAAGCTGGGAGAGCTGCTCCAGAAAATGCAAGGCCAGGAGGAGCAACTAACTGCTGTTAACCAGGAACTAAGCGAAAAGTCGGGCCAACACAAAGCGCAGCTGGCCAAGATCCAAGCTCAATTGCAAACCGAGCAGGAGAAGCTGCGCGAGCAGCTGCAACTGCAGGACAAACTGGAGCAGCAGAAGGAGCTGATGGAAGTGGATCAGAACCAGCAGTTGAGCAGCCTTAAAAAGGAGTTAACCGAGGTTACCCAGCAACTGGAGGAGTGCCAAAACAAGCTGACTGCCAAGGAGGCTCTCCTCGCGGAGATGCAACAGCAATTGCTGGAGTTGAGCCAAGAAAAGAAGCAGCTGCAAGAGGAATCGGAATCCGAGCAGACCAACCAAATCAGCGAGCTTCGGGCTCAGCTGCTGGCCAAGGAGCAGGATCTAGCCAATCTGCAGAATCTGGCCGCCGATCAGAGCCTCCAGCAGACCATCGATTCCCTGGGAAAGGAAAAGAACGAGCTGATCAAGGCGCTGCAGCAGAAGCACCAGGAGAACACCCAGTACTATGCGGAGATCCAGCGTCTGCAGCCCTGCGAGCAGCAGCTCAAAGAGCTGGCCAGGGAGCGCGAGAAGCTGCAGGATCAGATCGGCTTCCTCAAGGAGAAGTCCGACATACTCACCACCAATCTGCTGACCGAGCAAACCAACCAACGGCTGTTGCAGCAACAGCAGGCGGAATCCCAGGAGCAGCAGGCCAGTGTGCAGCGGGATCTGGAGCGATTGAGGGCCCATCTGCTGGAGGTGGAGGAGCTGCACACCCAGGAGTCCGTGGAGCTGCAGCGCGACCTCGAGGAGTCGCGATCCCGCCAGGCGCTGCTCGAGCAGCAGGTGTCCAAGTCGAGCACCGCCTACACATCGGCCAGGTAGGCAGAAAAAAGGGTCACCTTGGCGGGCGTTCGTTAGTCACACCACCTCACCAATCATAAGCGATAAGCGATCGAAGCTGGCTAATTGCATTCGCCACATGTTCTACTACATGCGATTCCACCCACTGCATCCCCCGGCCAGAATGGCACCAAATTGCATGGTCCGAACCATTTCCGCATGCCTGGCGGTGTTGTGGTGGAAAATCAATTTCGAGTCGCCTGGCCATCGAGCGAGATATTGAGATTTAAAGCTTAAAATATTTCTAAATGATTTGGGTATTGGTTTTTAGAAAGAACATTCTAAAACAGTTGAAAATGCTATACTATATTATGTCAACTTTCTATAACTTTCTTAAAACACTTCCCAATGAGTTGGGTTTTTGATTTTTGAAGAAAACAGTTTAGGGCTTAATATTATTCATTTAAAAATTCTATACGATTTTAGGAAGATGTATCTTCATTATGGGAATTTTTTATAATTATCTGAGCAACTTAAAAAATCGAATATAATAGAATTGAGCTTGGGAAAAGTTTAGTGAAGTGCTTTAAGCATTTAAAAGCAAACCATTTAATTATTTAATTTCTGGCCATTAAATGAGTGAATTTGATTTAATTTTTTGATTTTATATTAAACATATTATTATTAAAGATATTAAAACGAAAAGGTATAAGAGCAATTTCGGTTTAGGTTTTCTAAAAACAAATAGATGATAGGTAAATATTTTTGTATTTAATTTTAGAATGTTCGCCACACTAAATTAGCTCGGTATTTAAAAATTCTGAATTTTTTTAGCCCTAATAATAGTTATATTATTTTTTCTACCGTTTCAACTTTAGTATTCGGGCCAATCAGCAGGCGGAAACGCTGCAGGCGCAGCACGCTCTGCTCCAGCAGCAGCGGGATGAGCTGCTGGCCAAACTGGGCCAGTACGAGGATCGCGAGCTGAAACAGCAGGCGGCGCTGACCAATCTCCAGTGTGCCCTGGAGCAGTTCCAAAATGGTAGACATTTAACTGCTTAGTTTAACTAATAATATTAACTGATAATTCCTTTCCAGACAAAGACCACGACATCGAGATGGCCACGCAGCGCATCCGCCGCGAGATGCAGTCGCAGCTGGACCGGCAAGGTCAGCTGCAATCCGAGATGGGTGCACTGCAGCAGCAGCTGGCGGAGGCCAACCAGGGATTGAGGGCTGCCGCCCGGCTCTCCGATCAACTGGAGGCCGGTCAGCAGACGATCGCCGTGCTGCGGGATGAAGGTGAGTGGTGGGGTGGCCACCTCCCTCGGGATTTTGTTGACTAACCCAATGAAAAAAAGCACCCCCTGGCATGTTCTTAACCCACGGTGTTGCACTCAAAAAAAAAACCAATCTATATTCCCACTAAATCACTCATTTGAAAGAAAGAAAATATAGTATATTTTTATGGGTATTTGTTTGAGAATGAGAGAAGAAAGTATGAGAGTGTGTGCTGTGCTTTAGAGCGAAAGTAAGAAAGTAAGAGATTAAGAGTTTAAGGAAGAGAGAAAAGTGTCCACCTCACACGATTCTCAAAGGTAAATATCAGCTGGTAATTCTGGGAGCTAAGCCTAAATATGAAACACTCGGAATTTCAGTTGGTATCGACTTTTTTGAATTGCATTTTATCACCAAAAAGCGCAAAAACCGAAACCAAACACGCAAAACTAAAAACAAAAAAAAAATTCTACAACAAATTTTAACAAAAAAAAAATAATCACAAAAAAAAAACCACAAAGAAAAAGCAAAGAAATTACTCCTTAGAAACGCACACACCTACGGCACGTGGCAAATAAAAACTGTATTGGCTGTTAACTGCTCACCCCTCACAAAACAGGTAAACGACTAATTTGTCCGCTTGTGTGTCCGTTAAGCAGAACATCGCCCCCCTTCCAACACCTGAACACCCCCAAAAAGTAGTAAAAGTAATTCTTAATAACCCATTAATGTTGCACACTCCTAAAACACAAGAAACCGCTTAAATTTAGGCGCCTTCAATGTTGTGAATTAATTAGAAAATATTTAGTGTATCCCTAAGAATATCTGTGATTTGTTAATATAGAGTGTCGGAAAAATACAAGTATATTTGAAAAACATATTTACATAAATTTAAAATATTTAACAAAATATTAGAGCTTCAAAAAATGGATAATATCGAAGCGTTATTAAAAAAATATTGAAAATATCGATAATTTGTATTTAATATTTATTGTATTTTTCCTCACCTTGCATTTAAAAAACCAGCACAATAAAGTAGAGTACTTAAAGCTTTAACCCCTTGTTGCCCCAATTATTGTCCTTTTTATTTAATCACTTATTTGTTGTTGCCCGCTGCCTTGTTGTTGCTTAACTATTATTGTATTTTGTAGCATTTATTATTTAATTTTATTTAATTTGATTTTATTATGAATATTTGAGTGTTTGAAAACAAGACACAAAACCCAGACACGAGGACCTCTATAAACCGTATAAACCATAAATCGTAAACCGTACCATCCGTTATCCGTAATTCGTAACCCGTAATCCGTACCAAAAAAAAAAAAAAAAAAACAAAACAAAAAAACAATTATATCTGCAGCATTGAATAATCTCAATTTGTAAATGTGAGCAATCTGAGCCATTTGACGCACTCACTTTGCAATTGGAGATTGCTCGAGACTGCGGCATATGCCACATTATTATGTACACACCTTATATAGCCTTTAGCCTATATATATATCTGCCTATATCTACTCTGCATGTCTTCATTTTATGCATATATATACACAGAAAAAAAATTGACAAAAGATCAAATTGATATGTGCTGGTCAATTTCATATTTTTTTAAGATCAAAATGATATGAATAAAGATTATGTTTATCTTATTTTACATTATTTGTTCAAATAATACTAAATTTGGTATTTTATATGATATGATAGAATATCAAATTGATATGTTTGAATCATAAATTTGATATAAAATAAAATAGAATTGATTTAAATTTGATTTTTTTTCTGTGTACCTTTGTATGTATCTTTATCTCCCTATATCTAAATATCGTATGGATATGCTGTCTGATCTGTTTCCGTTTTTCGTATTCTCGTTACCCTCGTTCTTGTATTTTTTTTTATTCGCCTTGAGTTTGTTATTTTGATTTTTGAAACTTTGCATTTTTGCATTGCAATCCCCTGTTGTAACCAAGCAGCCAGTCCAGTCTAGTCCAATCCAATCCAATCCCAACCAGCCGCCGGAGCAGCCGGAGTAACAGAGCCAGCCAACGCGAGGAGCCGAGGAGCAGCGTCTGTACGGTTGAGTATTACATCAGGTACTGGTGTGCCTTAAATCCAACAACCAGTACTTATGTCATACTACGCCGTGCACCGATCGCACTAACCGCATGCCACCAAGAGAAATGAGAAAATTAAACAAAAAACGCGCGCGCTTCTCTCACACGGATGTTACCCCTACCGATTCCACTCACTCACATAGTTACTATAATATTTTAATCCAGCATACTAATCCCAATCTCTGGTTTTCACCCTTCTTGTCGCCCAGTGGAGAGCCTGAAGGAGGCCAATGGCCAGCTGGAGCAGCGGCTGAGCAGCAGCGAGAGCAGCCAGACGGACAAGATTGACAAGAGCCTGATCAAGAGCCTGCTCATCGGCTATGTGGTCAGTGGACATGCCGGGGACAAGCAGCAGGTGCTGCGCATGATCTCCTCGGTGCTGGACTTCAATGCCCAGGAATCGGATAAGGTGGGACTGAATAAGCAGCAGAGCAGCTGGCTGGGCGCCATTCTGGGTGGAGGTTCTAGTCCAGCGGCAGTAGGAGGTGAGTTTGAAAGGAGCCTTTAATCGAAATAAATATTAATTAATTTTATTCTCCCACAGGATCTTCTTCGCGTGGCAATGACAACCTGGTGCAGGCCTTTGTTCAATTCCTGGAGCAGGAGTCACAGCCGCAGGCGCAGCTGCAAACGAGACCCACTCTGCTGAGCATGACGGGTCAGATGGACACGTCCAGCTCCACCGCTTCCGCCTCCACCTCCTCCATCACCAGCACAACCGCTAATCTTCCCCTGCCGACGAATGCGATGAATGCGGTGCCACTGGCAAGTCAGCCGGATGCAGCGACTCCGGGCACACCGCCAGTGGTGGGCGGAGGATCGTCACCCGGCCAGTCCATGGGCTCCAATGAATTTGCGCCCACACGCAACTCCAGCTCGATATTGAAGGACATTCTCAGCGACTCCTGATTGTTGTAGAAAATTCGCATATTTTTTTTATTGAGTAATTTTAAAACATATTTTTATGAAATTCGTAAACGTGCAATCGCGGCGCCTGTATTCCCCCAAACGTATGTCCCAAACGTATATCTCGCTATATATATATATAATAACACATATAATGTATCTATAAAAACCGTGATGGTTACCCTGTACAATGTCTGTGTGTGAGTGTTTATGTGCAACGCTAGCAAACTTGTAAATACATATATGTAATATGCAATTTGAACATGTCATCAGAAGCAGCAGCAGCAGCAGGAGCAGGAGCCCGGAATCTGCCTGCCTGGGACACGCCTTCACAGCGGCCTTGCTAATGACTAGCCGCCAAATAATAAACAAAAACTAAAATGATTGCAAACAAAGTTTTTACAAAATTCAATTGGTTTGGGAGAAGGAGTGGTGAAATTAAAAGTGAATAAGTTAAGCTGCTTTTCTAGTTATATTCTTACTGAAAATACGCGTCGAATGACACCAAATTTGTTTAAATCCGAAGCTCCGTTCAAAAGTTATAACTAAAACAAAGGACTTCTTTAAATACAAATTTGTGCATGAAATTTAGCTATTTATAGCTGTTTTATCGCTGAACTAGCGGGATATTCCAAAAGTCGTTCAGAGCCCTAAAATAGCTCTCCTTGCCGTTTAGAATTTGAATTTCGTTGCATACTTCTCGAGTACCACATTTCCCTTAACATTGAAAATAAAACAAAACACATGGAACATTTAAGTACATACAATATAAGACTGCTGCCTTTTGTTTATTTTTTTTTTAGTTCTACACATCTCGCTTAGTAGGTTTGCCTATAACATTTCGATAAACTCTTTGAAATCGTTTGCTAAAACACACGTAGGACACGATCCATTTACATTGGTTATGGCCATGGATGGCTGCTGGCTGTATCTCAGCGTTAACAACATTTAAACATTTCTACACATCGTAAACAGGATCTAGACTTTTTCATAAATATCATTCGCTCTTTGTGTTTTATTTCCTTTTTTTTTTGTTTCTTTTGTTTTATAAAAATATACAATTATAAATATAAATATATATGTGTATATATATATCATATATAGATCATATATCATGTAGTATGTACATTTAGAGGTTTCAAAAAGACAAGAAAAAAAATGTACGTCTTTTTAGTTTTGTTCAATAAATTAGTAGAAAATACTTTGTTTATATAAAAATACAATAGGGTCCATAGGTTTCGATACACACACACGTTTACATTGTTATATATTTTCACTGATTTTGATTTAATTTTTTTGTTTTGTTTTATTTTTTCGTTGCGGAAATAGAGTTTTGCTTAAGTTTACCATTAGATAGTGGCCAAGTTGCACTGTATAAAAAAAAAGACTTACAAAATGATTCTCTCAGTGTATTCCTGGTTGTGGGTGTGCGTGTGTGTGTGTGTTTGGGTGAGGTGAAAGCTTTTTTTTTGGTGGGTGAGTGCGTGTCTTTGTGTGTGTGTGTGTATGGCAAGCATTTTGGTGCATACTTTTGGGTTGTTTGAATTTTTTTTTTGTAAAAGCTGCATTATAACGCTTAAGATTTAAAAACCATGTTGTTGAACCAATTTCAATCCTATTTGCTGCAATATCATAGTCAAAATCCGGCGATAAATCGATCAAAATTGGTTTTTAAAATTTTATAATTTAGCTGAAGCTTTTATTTTTGTTTGTATTCCTTTTTTTTCGTTTTTGGAAACTAACCCCTGCAGTCCGAACCCTTTTATATGGCAATCAGACCTTAGTCTGCGTGAGACAATCCTTTAACTTTAGCTACATACATTTATATACACATATTGATCAACATTGAACAACAGCAAATACATATGGGTAATATCCATTCGTTGGCTCAAAAAAAAATTGTTGTTATTTAGTTACTTATGTTTCTATATATATATATATATATTGGTTAACTCTATGGTACATTGAATCTACACACAATCCACATCTATATTTCGCTACTACCATTTAAAGCCACGTATTTCCATTAGTTTAGTTTTAGATTAGTTTAATTTAATTTAATTTAGTTTAGTTAGAACTATTGAAAAAAATAATATGTTAAAACATTGGTTGAAATGAAAGAAAGCATTTCGTTTGGTTTTCAGTAGAGCTTGTGAATTGAAATATCGAAAATATCGATAATTTTCAAGCTCTAGTTTTCAGATGAATCAACTGGCTAGTACAATTAAATACATACACACATTGATAAATATATATGCAGAATATTTGCGTGGGCCTGCGTTTTATGCTTATAATTCGCCAACCAATCAATCAATCAATCAATGTATCAATCAACCAATCTCACTAGCAACTTTAACCCGATTCTATCGTTTTTCTAACGTTTTCTATCTATTCATATTCAATTATATCACAAAAGAATCGCAGTTGGAGTTTTAAGTTTTTTTTTTTCCAACCACGATGCCCCGCCCCGCCCCTCTCTGTTACGCCCCCACTCCTGGTTTTTGTATTTTCCGGTTTTTTTTGTTGTGAATGCCTGGATTCTGGAGTTTCATTAAATGCAATTTTGAAACCATTTTTCAAGTGCTAAATAAACTCAACCGCCCGAAAATAAGATCCTAAGTTTCCACTGGCATTGAGTTGTTGTTGGTTGTTGTTGTTGGCGATGTGTTGCTTATATTGTTGTTGGTGTTGCTGTGGTTGTTGTTGTTGGCATGGCTAATGATGATGGTGGTGGTGGTAGTGTGACCATTCGCCTGCAACGATTCCTGTGATTTAAAAAGGGTTGTGGTCTCACTGGAATGCAGATCATCCTCGTCTTCCTCCTCCTCCTCCTCATCCTGATCCTGCTCCTGCTCCAAACCAAGCTCATCCTGCTCCTGGTACTCCTTACCATTATCACCTGGATTAAGAACTACATCCTCCAGCGGCTTCTCCCTGCGTCCCGTGTACAGATACACCTCCATATGATCCTTGCCCTTCACATAGACACTGCCCCGGGGTTCGAACTCGTAGCGCTGCTGGAGAAACTGCAGGCAATCCTTGCCCACCTGGATGCGATTCGGGAGTCCCGTAGAATCCATCCGCGAAGCCACATTCACAGCATCGCCCCAGATGTCGTAGTACAGCTTACTGGTGCCTATAACTCCAGCCGTAACATCCCCGATATTCATGCCAATCCGCAGGATGAGATTGAACTCGAGCAGATCCTTGTTGAACGCATCCACCACCTCTTGCATGGCTATCGAGAACTCCATCAGCGTGTGTATGTGCTCATCCCCCGAGCCGCGATGCGAGGGATCCAGGCCACTGGCCGCCATGAAGGTGGAACCAATTGTCTTGATCTTTTCCACCGCCCGAAACTCAGGACGCGAGAGCAGCTCATCAAAGTCGCCAATTAGTTCGTTCAGGACTCTCAAAAACTCCTTGCCACCCAGATAGCTCTCATCGTACATCTCATTGAAGTTCACAATGGAGGCGAATATGATGGCGATATTATGATGATTCTCCGAATATTTAGCGGTATTTTTCAAATGCTCCGCCACATGTTTGGGTATTATGTTGTGCAGGAGCATATCCGCCTGATTCTTCATGTTCTGCACACGAACCTTATCCTGATTGGCCACCGCATTGCCGTAGAAGGTCAGCCGATAGCCGATCTCGAACTCGCGATTGAGCAGCCACACCAGCACCAGGATGAGCAGCAGATCCAGATAGATTTCGACATGGTAGTCCTGGAACCACTTGATCTCCTGTATGAAGTTCGAACCGGTCTCCTGATCCTCCTCCTCCTGTTCACTTCGATTGTGACTATAAACCATCAGCTGCGACACGGCTATTCCTATGAAACAGAGGGCCGCCAGAAAGGCCAGGACATTCCGCACCCAGCAATTCAGCTGGGTGAAGTTGCAAAAGTGCACGATGCACACGAAGATCAGGAAGCCGTAGTGATACTCAAAGGCCTCCAGTTGTTCGAGATCGAGGAGTAGAAAATTTGCGATAATCAGGAGCACGGGCATGGCCATCAGGATGGCGAGGCAAATGTGCCAGGGATACCAGCTGGAGATGGCCTCGAAGATGCGATCCGCGCAGGAGGATCCTCCTCTAATACCTCTCCCATCCCTCTCCAAATCCTCGCTAATCTGCGACTTGCGATGACCTTCATTCTGACCACCACCACGACGACGACACATTTGGCGGGTAAACAGAAACAAAGCAAACACCTGAATGGCCGTAAAGCAGGAGAACAGGGTCACCCACAGGCGAAAGCTCGGGGTCACCGTGTTCTGGGTCATCAGGAAGAGCGACACCGAGATGCACAAATAAACGGCAATGCCCACAAAGATGTCAATGTAGGTGTTGTACCTCGGAGTAGCTAAAGTTGGAGGTCCTTCCGTCTCGTTCTCGGCACCAAATCGATGGGCCTTCGAACGGAAATCTCGCTCCAACTGCCGCGACTTGAAGTACAAACTAAATCTGCGTAGTGGCGGCTTCACCAGATAGCTTCTCTGCGACCTGGCATTATCCCTCACGCAACGGATGAGCTGCAGATCCGATTGCTTCCTCAGCTGCTGCAGGCAGGCGGCCAAAGGATCCGCCATCTGGGAGGAGCAGGCGGGGATGAGGAGGGCAGGAGCTGGTTGCTGCTGTCCCGCTCCTCCTCCCGGCAAACCAATCTCCCCCAGATTCGAGATGCTCGAGGTGGAGCTGGTAAAGTAACCCGACACGCGATGCTGACTAATCGCCGACTGGTTGAGTGCATAGATCTGCTGTTGAATGGAGGATCTCCTCGAATTGCTCTTGATTCCCGAATCCTTGCGTGACGTGGCCGATGGGCAGATGCTGGACTGCCGCGAGTGGCTGGGCAGCATGGAGTTGCCAGGAGCCGGGAGACAGGCAGAGGAGCTGCTGCCAGGCTCTAAACTATTCGCTGTGGGTCTTCCGGTGGCCAAGGTGGAGGCACGTGGCCGGGGCAAAGGAGATTGCTCTACTTGGGGAGGTGCCTCGCGGGAGGTGGAGGTGCCAGGTGCTCCTCCTCCTCCTCCTCCTCCTCCTCCTCCTCCATTGGATTGCCTGCCACACTGCGATCTATAGCTGCCTGATCTCCCGAATGGTGAGATATCACTCCTCGATTGACTGATGTAGGATCGCACATCGATGATGTCGTCGTACATGGAGTAGGGTGAACCAGGTGAGCAGCAGCCTCCTCCTCCTCCTCCTGCAGTTTCTGGTGAGCGGAGCACACTGCTGGCCAAGGCAGTCGAGGTGGCCGCATGATGGAGCACTGGACGGGCGGCCGCCTGGGGTGCTGGTAAATCCAAAGTTTGGGTCACCACGGGTCCGCGATGGTAGCCATTGCCATTTACCATCTGATTCTCCATGAAGGCCAGCGTCTCCTCGGGATGCAGTTCCTCTTGCTCCCTTTCCCTCTCCACCTGATGACTGGAGGAGCTGGTGCCGCTGCCCCGCTTGAGAAATCGCGGCACTTTCCACACCTTTAGCTTGATCTTGGGAGGAGGATTTGGAGGAGCAGGAGGCGGACTAGCTGGCGGCTGTTCATCCGAATCCAGGCTGCCCGGCAGCGATTTGGTGGTGATGATGATCTTGGGCCGCTCCCTGACCACAATCACCGGCGGAATGCCCGCCGCCGCCGGATGATGGATGCCCCGCTCCACATCCCCCCCGCGACTCTGCGACTTCTTGCGCAGCTTCATGGACAGCGAGGTGAGACGCGGGCGCATGGAGAGCACCGGCGAGGGATTCAGCGAGCTGGACAGCTGACCCACCGGCGAGGCGGGCGGAACATTCGGCTGCACCGCCGACACATTGGTGGCGCTCTGGGAAAGGGATCCGCCCACTCCTCCTCCATGGGCGCCCGGGAGGAGGAGGGAGCTGCCGATGGCATTCGGCGGCATGCTGGGACTCAAACTGTTGGTGCGGGTGAAGTCACGGCGACGTCCCACCACGAAGTAAGTGCGATGACCTAAAGGGGGGTGAACAAGGGTGGGAAGAAGGTAGCGAAGGATCTGGGTTAATAAATCCCTAATTTTATTTATTTTATTTAGGGACTCTCACCGAAAACCTCCTCGCCCTCCTCCAGGTAGTAGGCGTCGCCCAGAAAGCTCGATGTCTCCTGCGAGATGTGCACCTGCTCCGGTTTGCCAGAGGATTCCATTCTAAGAACAAGGGTAAGATTATTGGCTTTTAAAATTTGTAAATTACTTATATATTTTTATCATTAAGTAAGGTAAGTCGATTTTATAAATGGTATTTTTTCAAAAATCTTGATTTTGGTTAAAATTTGATTTTTTTAAAAAGATTTTTTGCTGTAACTTGGTCAAAAATGGTCCCAAATCAAAAAGGCGTACGGTTTTGAGCAGCTAACAACCTAATAATTAATTTCAGTAAACTTTCTGTATGATTTAAAAAAATAAAAATTTGAGCAAATTTTCACATTTTTGATAAGGGGTAACATCATGATTTTTTGCGAAAATTTGGAAAAATTAAAAATTTCAAGGTATAAATGCAGAATGATGGCAAATTTTATTACGAGTTCGACGAGGTATTGCATTCCATATTTGGATAATTATTTAATTATTTTATGACCAAAATACTGTCCTTTTTTGGGTGGAAAATCAGGATTTTGATTTGGTGCAAATTTGAAATTTTTCTTAATAGATTTTTTGTTGTAACTTTGCCAAAATTGGTCCCAAATCAAAAAGGCGAACTGTTTTGAACAGCTAACAACCTAACAATTAATATCAGTAAACCTTCCGTCTGATTTGGAAAAATCAATTTTCGACCCAATTTTCGCATTTTTGTAAGGGATTACATCACAATTTTTTGCGAAAATTGGCAAAAATTAAAAATTTCCAGGTATAAATGCAGAATGATGGCAAATTTTATTACGAGTTCGACGAGGTATTGCATTCCATATTTGGATAATTATTTAATTTTTTATGAATAAAATACTGTCTTTTTTTGGGTGGAAAATCAGGATTTTGATTTTTGGTGCAAATTAATCGATTTTTTGCTGTAACTTTGGCAAAAATCGTCCCAAATCAAAAAGGCGAACGGTTTTGGACAGCTAACAACCTACTTATTAATATCAGTAAACTTTCCGTCTGATTTGGAAAAATCAATTTTCGACCCAATTTTCACTTTTTTGATAAGAATTTTTGGCAAAATTGGCAAAAATTAAAAATTTCCAGGTTTAAATGCAGATCGATAGGAAATTTTATTACGAGTTCAGCGAGGTATGACATTCCATATTTGGATAATTATTGTCATTGTTATGGTCAAAATACTGATATTTTAGGGTGAAAAATTTGGAATAGAATTTTAGAAAAAATTACCTTTTTTTTTTGGTTTTTTAATCGTATTTTGCATTTAACCTTAGTTAAACCTTACTTTAATCTGACTTTAACCTTACTTAAACCATACTCTAATCCGACTTTAACCCTACTTTAACCCCACTCTAACCGCAACTTACTTGTTGGCCAGGCTGACGTCGTTGCTCCACACGTCGAACTTGACCCGTCGCGTGCCGACGATGCCGCAGAGGACGGTGCCCGTGTGGACGCCCACCCGCATCTTGACGCCCTCGTGGCGCTGGGCGTCGAAGCAGCGCATGGCGTCGATCATGCCCAGGCCCATTTCCACGCAGCAGATGGCATGGTCGGCCCGCGGCTCCGGGCAGCCGGAGACGCAGTAGTAGCAGTCGCCCAGCGTCGAGATCTTCTCGCAGCCACTCAGCGAGCAGAGATCGTCGAAGCGTTCGAACAGATCGTTCAGGATCTCCACCAGCTGCTCGGCCGTCTTGGTGGAGGACATGCGGGTGAACCCGACGATATCCGCAAACAGGATGCTCACATTCTCCATGCTGTGCATGTGAAAGGGCCGAAACAGCGACTTCACATCGTTCGAGGCGCGCGGTCGCATATAATGCGATTCGGGGGGCAGTCCGCCGGAATCGAGACCCGATGTACCGCCCTCGTTCAACAGCATATCCGCCACCTTGGGCGGCATCACCGAGTGGATCATCTTCTCCTTCAGCTGCTTCTCCATCTCCAGTTGGCGGCGCACGAGCAGATTCTGGCCCACCTTCATGAAGGTGCCGCGCATGCGCACCAGATTCATGATCAGCACATGCACACCCACCAGATGGACACTCAGATGGGCCATTATCCTGAGTATCAGGATCTTGTTGCTCGGATCCCCGTTGTTCTGCGTCTCCATGGTGCCGCCATGGATGGCACTGCAGCCGATGACCATGTGCGAGACCATCTCGAAGGCAATCGAGTAGCAGATCGCCGTGCTGGCGCCCAGCCACAAGGGCATCGGCAGGGCCGTGTAGATCAGCAGGACGATCTCCAGGCAGATGGCAAAGTGGCCCAGCGGACTGAAGGCCCGACCCGTGTAGGTCAGGAAGGCCAGCGAGGCGCCGCACAAGAGCAGCGCCGTGATCGCCGACGTCACCGTCCTGTGCTCCCTGTACAGGTCCCAGTGGGTGAAGCACAGCGCCATTATCGTCACCAGCGAGAGCATCGAGAAGGAGCTGGAGATCGGCCGCCAGAAGTCCTCCGACCCGCCGTCCACCACAAAGTACAGGCACCACGCCAGCGAGCACAGCAGGATGTACATCAGGGTGAACCTGCAGATAAAATGGGGTATTCGGAATTAGGAAACTGTCAACAGATTATAAGAACAGGATATATCCAACAATGAAACTAAGTACTAAATGGGTTTGCCAGCTTAAGGTTACCCTTTGAACACACTCTAAATTTTCCCGACTAAAGAAAGTAAGTTTTAAAAATATTAAAATTTGAATAAATAACAAAATCTTAGATTTTGCTAAAAATTTGAAATTTTTCCTAATCGATTTTTTGTTGTAACTTGGGCAAAAATGGTCCAAAATCAAAAAGGCGTACTGTTTTGAACAGCTAATAACCTAATAATTAATATCAGAAAACTTTTCGTCTGATTTGGAAAAATACATTTTCGACCAAATTTTCACTTTTTTGATAAGGGGTTACATCATGATTTTTTGCAAAAAATGACATAAATTAAAAATTTTCAGGTTTAAATGCAGATCGATAGGGAATTTTATTACGAGCTCAACGAGGTATGACATTCCATATTTAGACCATTTCGACTATTTTTACGGCAAAAAATACAAATATTTTGGGGGTATAAAATCAGGATCTAGTAGGTATAAAAAAATGTCTTCTTTTTTTCTAAAAATAGTGAAACCCTAATGAAACCCATATACATATGAACAAATAAATAAGGAGGTTTTCACTATTAAAGCTTAAAAGTGCAGAAAATAAAAGCTTTGGCCAGATTTAGATTAATATCCCGCACTAAAACGGAGAGAGAGAGGTTCCACTTGAACGTCCCAAAGTCGTGGCCACCCAGGAATTTCTTTTTTGTTCATCCCATTTAACTTTCGCTGGAAGTGGAAGTGCAAGTGCAAGTGCAAGTGCAAGCCATTCCCATTCATCCTAATTAACGCCAACTGCAGGCGGCGGCGAAAGCGGCTTACACTGGCCGGCGTGTCACCATGGGAACTTTTGCCACAGCCACTGCCGCGGCATTCATTACACACTTTGTTCCGCTCGAAGGACCAAGAGGTCAGGCCGGAACTAAAAACGGGTAATGGGTAAACTGGGAAGCTGACGATGACGACCTGCCCACTAATCTCCGGCCATTGTTGATGGAATGCCACGAAGGCATTGTTTGACTTGACTTGACTTGGCCATTCGGAAAACTTTCGGTGTCCTAATGTTTAATGGTTAACGAAAGTTCCCCAAGGAAACCCAAGGAAAGTGTCAAGCGCAGAGTCGGGTTTTCCATCTTAGAAAATGCAACTTTTGGACTTTAACTAACTAACTTTCCACCAACTGCATGTCAAAAACCTTTTAGGAAACTTTTGGGATTAAACAAGTTCCAAAACCTACGGTTTATGTATATATATAATTTATAATTTAAAATTCGGACAGAAGAGCAAAAACAGGTACGTTATCAGAAATTGTAAACATTTTTAGGAAGTAATGCTGCGAACTTCTATAATTGCAAACAGCTGGAAATAGTGTTGGCATTTTTTGGAAATATAAATAAAGAAATATAAAAATACAATTTTATTTTATTCATAAGCTACAATTTTATTTGTTTTTTATTTCTATTAAATTTATATACGATTTATTGAGCTGATAATTATTAATTATTTTAAGCCCATTGAACTTATAAATTTATTTATAATTTGAAAATTAGTACCTCTATTTTAACTCTAAAAAATATTATATAATATTCATTTTAAGCCATTAAATAAGACGTTTTTAAAAAGTGTCTAAAAAATAAATACAATATTTTAGAGGGAGCTTTTGCACGGAAATAAAATTAAATTGGCAAAAACGTATAAAAAAGGCAAACAACAAATAAAAATTGGATCATTACCAAGTATTTTTTATTATAAAACCTATATAATAGTACTTGAAAATTATTCTTTCTGGCTTATTTTCGGTTTCTGAGTTGTCAGTACTGGCAGCCCAATCGATTGGCTCGCTGCCTTTTTCTGGTGCCGCACGCGAAACTGCTGCAATTGGCCGCCAAATGGCCCGAAATGGCATTGACCTGCAGCACCCCTAACCCGTAACCCCTAACCCCCAGCCAACCTAACCCCCCTTTGAGGAACTCCATATCCATACCCATTGGAATGGGGCACACGCCAACCAAGCATTTATGGCGGCAATTTCGCCATCCTGCGCAGTTCCCCAACTAATTTGCCCTCGCTTACCTCCTGCTGACCCCCGACCCCTAGCCCCTGAACCCCTGAACCCCCTTACTAACCCCTAACCCCTTTACTAACCCCCTTACTCTTTGGCGTCGCGTTGATTGCATGCACGTGCAAGAGTCGGACTGGTTTTTGTATACCTGGAATACCTGAATACCTTACCATACACCTGCAAAGGAGTTAGCACAAAAAGAAGGGCCTATCCAGGTGAAAATGGGGGTCCCTGGGCTAAATAGAATCTTCGCCAGGTGTCAGCGAACTCAACACTTTTGAGTGCATCGATTTTAATACCAATTAATTATGCGAAAAAGTATGCCAACCAATAAATAATTGAAAAAATAAACTGTACATTAAAATTTAAATATCTTAAAATAAATTATTTACCAAGGAGTAAAAAAAAAGACTAAACTTTGTATGACCTTTTTTTTTTTAATTTCTTAAGCCTTAAAACTTAAAAAAACCAAGATACAAATCGATTCATTTTATGTGCAATTAAAGCATTTAAATTGAACACATTTAAATGATTAAATTTTGCCCACAAATTAACCGCTTAATTTCCACACCTTTTCTACGGAAAATTAAATTCTAAAGGTAATTGCTAAATTTTCCAAAGGGATAGTTGGCATTTCGCACCTAATCAAAGGCAACTGGCAGCCCAATTAAATCAAAACGAAAATATGCAAGGGTTTTGAATTTCCCACACACAATTTCTTCTTCGCAAATGTTTTGTGGTAATTAAGTGTTTATTACTAGTTGAATGCTAAATATTTAAATTCAGCTGAATAGAGGAAAATAAATGGCGTTCTAAGAGCTGTGCCGTTCAAATGGGAGCATGGAGTTTTCCCTTGGCTCTGAGCTGGCCTATTTGTTCATTTGATTGCGCCGGCCGACAGCTCGATTTGCATAGCTGAGTGGAAGCCACGATGATGGACAGGGTCACCCACTGGCCCCACTTTATTTTAATTTCATTTTCATTTCAACCCTCTCCTGATTTTAATTTCAAGAACTCTACGAAAAAAACTGTATTTTAGTCTCTTGAAATGCAAGTAAATATCTAGCTTTTAATGCGATTGGGAGATTTATTACGAGGTGTTCAACGAGGTGTAACATTCCATATTACGACCATTATTTCCATTGTTGCTGCCAAAATACTATTTTTTTTCGTTGAAAATCAGGATCTTGATTTTTGGTACAAATTTGATACTTTTTTGGGTGAAAAATCAGGATTTTGATTTTTGGTGCAAATTTGACATTTTTCCTTATCGATTTTTTGCTGTAACTTGGGCAAAAATGGTCCCAAATCAAAAAGGCGTACTGTTTTGAGCAGCTAACAACCTAATAATTAATATTAGTAAACTGATTTGTCTGATTTGGAAAAAACAATTTTGGACCCAATTTTACTTTTTTGATAAGGGGTTACATCATGATTTTTTGCGAAAATAGGCAAAAATTAAAAATGTCCAGGTTTAAATGCAGATCGATAGGGAATTTTATTACGAGTACAGCGAGGTATGACATTCAAAATTTGTCAAAAATTAGGATTTTGATTTTTGGTGCAAATTTGACATTTTTCCTGATCGTTTTTTTGCTGTAACTTGGGCAAAAATGATCAAAAATCAAAAAGGCGTACGGTTTTGAGCAGCTAACAACCTAATAATTAATATCAATAAACTTTCCGTCTGATTTGGAAAAATCAATTTTCGACCCAATTTTTACATTTTTGAAAAGGGGTTACATCATAATTTTTTGCGAAAATAGGCAAAAATTAAAAATTTCCACGTTTAAATGCAGATCGATGGGAAATTTTATTACGAGTTCAACAAGGTATGGCATTCCATATTTGGACTATTATTTAAATTTTTATGACCAAAATACTGTCTTTTTTGGGTGGAAAATCAGGATTTCGATTTTTGGAACAAATTTTAAATTTCTTGCAGCATTTTTTGTGTATTATTTTTCTGCGTGATCTCACCTGTAGCGCATGCGGACGTGGGGAAAGACGCTGGCCTGGTACTGCTCCTCGAGGACCGGGGAATCGAACTTGGGGTCCAGCCAGGACTTGGCCGCCGCCCGCTCGAAGGCCACCGGCAGCATGACGCTGCAGCAGGAGTGCCGTCGGCCTGTCTGGCTCAGGTAGGTCTGGATGTGCGGCGCCAAGGCGATCTGAATGTCATCGGTGGAGTTCGCCCGGCTATCGTTGACCAGAACGCCCGGCGGCATCGCCCTGGAGCTGACCGACTGTCGGCGCGACTGCAAGCACGGAAAAAGAGAGAAAAGCGTTTTATTATCAATAAATTTAGCAGTTATTAATTTAATATTATATGTTGTATACATAACCCAAGAAAATATCTTCCCCTTTGATATACAAATATTTTCACCCCCTTTTTTCGTTGGTAAAAATTTAAATCAAAAATTTATATTCCATTATCTTCAGTAAAATCAACCAAAATAGAAGTCAAACAAAATTAATGTACATTTTAAATTGCTTAATAAACAATCGCAATATTTTTTCAAATATAAATTCATTATTTTTACTATTTATTTCGTTTTAAATAATAAAGATTAATCGCATGGCATCACAATAAAAATAAATACAATTATAATTAATATTTAGCAAAGGAGTTGAAATGCGCGGATTAGCGGATTATTCTCGGTTGGTTTTCTCACCGGATTAAACGGGGCTCTCATTGTGATTTTGTGATGGTGGGCGGAGGTCAAAGGTCACGAACAAGGGAACTTATATCTTTGCCATTTCGCAAATGGGTCAATGGCTATGCTCTCCTTGCCTTTATTTCACAGGGTGAAAGGCACACTGAGAAAATGGCATATTAACCGTGTCATAAATTTAAGACGCTTCTTTGTTTATGCCAAAAAATAATAAATTCTTTTCAACAATAAATGATGGATATTAAAGATTGATATATTGATGTTGATGGAGAATAAATTATAATATTAACTATTACCTACATTAATAAATTTATATATTTTAAAACCAAATTTACAAATAATTAGAAACCCTATATTCTGTAGACAAATAAATATCAGAACTTCTATTATTTTTCTGTTTTATTAAATAAAGTATTTGTATAATACTAGCTATACAAATTTAAAAGTAAGTACCAGTTTTGCTCATTTTAATAAAAGGAAGAATATATAAACTAATTTAATGCTTCATTTTGTCTTGTGCACGAAAACATAAAAATCTTTGCTTTACGATCGCTTGTAAAAATTTCTTTTAAATGCTTTTTAATTTCCTTTGCCTGTGTTATTTTTGATTTTTGATTATCACCGAAAATTGCCAGCGGCACAAGTCACGCGACATGGGCTTTGATTTCTGATTTCGGACCTCTGATATTTGCCAGCTGATTTGCGATTTCTGGCGGCCTTCGATTCCTGCGGCAATCTTATCGAAGATACAGAAGAAGAAGAAGCGAACGAAGAATGGCCAGAAGAAAGCGGAGCAGCCAAAGTGCAGTCGAGACCCCGAAATCATAATCATCAAAATTGAAAACAATATCTCGTAGGGCGTCCAATCAAATCGCGTATACGACCCGTGGGCGGCACTCGAGCGAAACGCACACAAAAATAAAAAATAATAAAAATACAAAACGGACACGCGGACAAAGTTGCTAAGTTAATCATAAAAAGCATTCCCCATACAAACGAACGACTTGGTCGTTCATTAAGAAGCCGCTAAAAAGTCGGGCTAAAAATAGAAGTCAGTGAAATACAAATTAAAGCAGGGAGAAGTTTTTTGTGGGGGAGGGAAGGGGTTAACACAAAGCTAAAAATGCCCTAACCCAATCTATCATTTTAGTAATTTATTTGGCTATTTTGGGCTTTTTCCATGGAACTCTTAAAATGCCAAATAATTCAAAACTGACAGCTGAGTCTTATAAATAATTTTAAAAACTAAAATGTAGTATTTTTAAAACAGCTAATTTTATAAAAAATACTTTTAAAAGTATACGGAAAATAAATTAAAGTTAAATGAATACTTTACTTAAATGCTATCATATTTATTTATTTATTGGAAATCAATAACCAAAAAATAAAAATAAATATATAAAATATATTTAAGTTCAGTACTCAAATACTACAAACAAAAGTCTGAGAATACCCCATTTAATGGGTATTCGAAAGGGTTCTGAAAAGTTTTCATGGGGGGCTGAGATACAAGATACAAATGCCTAGGATACAACTTTCTTTCACCCTTTCACCCTGTTCTTTTTTTTTTGTTTAAACCATTGACTTTTTGTATGAAGTAAACCAAATCTGCGGGCAAATTGGGATTCCTTTGCCTGCGGAATTCTTTTTTCTCTTTTTTTAACTTTCTGGCTAGGCCCAAAAGCGAAAGCAAATATTTCATTTGGCAAATTGCTAACTGACCCTTGGACTGCCCTTAATAATTACTCAGGAGTTTAATTTTCACTTTTTTGGAATGCGGTTTTCTTTGGCTGCACCTACCGAAAATCAATCCACAGGAATTCCTTGAACGTGAGAAAAACATTTCACATATATTTTATGGTCGGCAAATGCGCGACAAAACGGCAAAAAAAAGAATGAAATTCACTTAAAAGCTGAGCATTTTGTTGGTTTATTGGAAATTTGCGTCCCTCGTTATTCGTACGTTTTATTCGATTTGATTAGGATTCGATTCAATTTGATGATTCGATTTGATTCGATTTCGAATGCGAGTGCGAAACAAAAGGCGGCAAACGAATTCCGTTCACGCGGCGCTGGGAACTGAACTGATTTGAATTTTTTCTTTCTCGGTCCGTCGATTGTCTCGCCGTCGATCGCCAGAGGCAAATAGCAAATAGCAAACAGCTGACAGAGGCAAAACGGCGTTTGGAGAATGCAAAAACCAGGCAGCTTATCGTTTTCTACCTGATAAGGCCAGGTGAGCGGAGAATTGCGAGAGAATCGGTAGAAAATCGGGAGAGAAAGAGGGAAAATATATATAGATAATGGATCTACTCGAGATCAGATTTGAAAATTCAAGTGGCCAAGGACCCCCGACAATCTGGCAATCGCTGGCAATCTATGAGGTCATATCATATCATATAGACTACCCCCACTTGCGAAATTGTTCGTGCCCTGTAGCCTGTAAAATATTAAAAGAAAAACAAATTTAATATAAATAGCGCTCGGTTATTCCGGCAGTTAAGCGATAAGATAAGAATCGAACCCAGACACACAATTCTTCGCTATGAACTGAACTGGGGAAATCGCCTTGAACTTCTTCGGCGAGTGCACTCATTACACACTCACTCTTCCGCACTCACTCCATTCATTCATTTACACGGGGAAAAATTATTGTTTACAAAAATATAAAGTATTCTTAATAAAAAATCTAATCCCATAATATTTATACAGATTTAGTTTGTCGAAATTATTTATAATATTATCTTCTTTTGAATTTTTTTTAAAAGTAAAAAATTGATTCATTTTTTTAAATGATCATTAAGTTGTTTAATTTGTTGATGTTTTCTTTAAAAAAAAACGAGGCTGCCACAGAAACTTGAAAGCCTCTAGGAAATATTATCGTGTCTGGTTTAAATCAGTACAACATTTGCGTATACAAATTTGTGCTCTTGAGTTCATTGTCAAGTTTATTTAATTCGCCATATGTACTTATAAATTAACACATTTCTAAAATTAATTTAAATAAATTCCAGTCCTGTTTTTTTATTAATAATAAATAACATTTGAATAATGAATATGTTCTTATATTTAGCTTTTATTATAAAAATAAAAATATCTGTGTACTCATTCTGTGAAAACCTTTCAAGATGTTTATGACACCCGCTGATCTTGTAGATATGTGAGAAGATAAGAGATACGAAGATATGATAAAATACCGAAACGCTGACGAGGGCTGATATCTTGGGAATATTATTATCTTTTCTTTCATTCAAGGACTTTGAGTGGGATTTATCCTTATCCCTGGAGCTCATGAATACATTTAATAACCTTACTTAATCTGGCAATTAAGTTGCACTTGGGGGAAAATGGCTATACCATTCGATTGACCTGCCCTTTCTATTTACATTCGATTTAAGACGGACCTTTGTGAAGTTTGCTCAGTGCCTTGCATAATGCATTCAGCAATTGGGGACAGGAAATTGGAATTCCGTTGGCTGCCTTGGCCAACTACTATATATATATATACACGATTCTGTTGCCTGCAAATCAAATTCCAAATATTTGTTTAATTAAACTCTCTTGGCAGCCGCATCAATTCCCAGCGAACGACAACAAAAGCGGCAAACTGTTAAGAAGTTTTTGAATATTAATTAGCAGAAAAGCCAAAGGCAGAGAACCAAATGGCGAAAGGCAAAAGCCAAGTAGCAGCAACATGGCTGCGAGTTATCAGCAAACTGATAAATTTACGGTGGCTTTTAAAGGGGGGCTGGAAGGGGGAAAAGGGGGTTCTTCGGTTGTTTAGTGGGCGTAGAGCGGATCCACCTAGGAAGTTACCATCGATGAATCGATCTGTTTTGCAGGTGGATAAAAGGCCCGCTTCTTAACTCGCAGAAAGGTGTTGATGAGTGGGGAATAAAAATGGCACAAAACAGAGAAAGAAAGCTAGAGATTTAGGGAAAAAAAATAAAATGAAATTTTAAAAAACTATCTAAAATAACTTTGATTGGTTTGTCTGCTCTTATTTTAAACTAAATATTTTGCATTTCTTAGTTTCCAAATCCCACAAATATACCAAAGAAAAACTATTTTCATTAAAAATAAATGCAGAAAATTCTTTAGATTAGTTCTTTGCCATTTATAAGCTATCCAATATAAAATGTTTTTTTTTAATAATAATTCCTCTATATTTATTTTAACATTTCATTCTCTAACTTTCATTTATAATTTAATTTTATTTTATTGGCCAAAATATTTCCTTTTCCTCCCTTTTTATAACTTCCTTTGCATTTTAGCAACAATTAAATGCAAAGGCTGGAATATTCAAATTCAAATTCAATAAACGATGAATGATGGATGGGATGGATCGATGGGGCTGCGGTTACTTTATGAAAGGACCTTCTCTCTCTGTAGTTCAGTGGTCCAGTGGTTAGTCGCTTCAAGGGCTCTTTGCAGTTATTCTTTTGGCCCTCAGCCCCCTAACCCCTCCTAAACTGCCCCCCAACCCCTCCTTAACTGCCCCTTAACTGGCAGACACAAAGGAATGGAGGGCCAACAACGAGTGGCCAACAAAGTAATGCAATTGCCCAAGCCCAGTGGGAAAG